TGGAAAAGTAAACAGATAATATATGCCTTGTTCAAAGATATCTTTAATGATTTTTTCAGTGGAAATTTCGGCTTTTGGCATACTAATATATATACTAATATGTTTACTTGTTATATATTCTTTTGAGTTAATAAGTTTTTCCGTTACAATTTTACCTAATTAAATATTTTTTTTTTAAAAAAAATTAATCGAATTTCTTTTAAAGGCTTTTTATTTAATATAATTTTAAATAATGCATTACTTTCTTGTTCAATTACTTCTAACGGAATTTGATTTAATGATGTACGCATTTCTTTTCTTAAGACATTCTTTAAAGCTCTTATAGATTGACTCATATTGTAAAAAAAGATTTATTAGTGAGAAATAATAAACTTTCAAATAAAAAAAGATCGCATATTTAACAGTAAATTTGGTTAAATCACGTGGTTGTTAAATAGTGCTGGTTGCGGCTAATTCAGCATTTCTTTTCTCCCTCTCTTTCTTAATCAAACCACCAATTTGAAAAGCTTTACCAGGTTGATCTCTCAAATAATATAGTTTAGCTCTTCTAAAACCCTCTCCTCTTGCCAAAATTTTGATAGACTTAATTAAGGGTGAATTGATAAAAAATTTTTGTTCCACTCCAACTTTTAATATGATATTTCTTAAGGTGAAATTAGTATCAACCCCCTTTCTTTTAATGCATATGCAAACTCCCGCAAAAGCCGTTGTACCACTTTTAGAGGAAGAACCGGTACTTGTAGTAGAGGAGTTTTTGACGGAGGACATTGAGGTATACATTTCTACTAGTAACACGTCACCGGCTTGAATTCTGTCTTTACCATGTTTTGCGAACATTTGAAACCTATCGGGAGTTTTAGATTGTGTTTCAAGTATTATTACTTTCATTACATCTTTATGATTTGTTATTATTGGATTTGAATATTGTGGTGTTGGGATTAAAATTGATTCTGGTGGTTTATATGTTGCTTTTTTTTTTTTATTTTATATATATATTATAAATGATAAAAAAAAAGTTAATCATAACGACAATGTCACAACAATTCAAAAAAGAATTTGATGATCAAAATTGTACCTTGCGCATTATTTGTTAATTGTCGAATATTGTTCAATGAAGAAAATGAAAGTTTATTAAAATCCTTTAATAAAAAATTTCGTAACCTAAACATCTTTACATTTTTTTTTTTTTTTTTCGATTTTTTTTTTTATGCGGATCCGTCACGTCCCGTACTATGTAAGTCACATGAATTCGGATTATCAAGAATTTTTTTTTTTACGATAAATTTTTTTTTAAAAAAAAAAAAAAGCGTCCGACTTTATTGTAACTAGCTTATAAATGTTGGAGTTCGATCTTCTCTTAACTTAATTAAAGCATCAATCTTTAAAACAAACGAATTTCTTTGGACTTTTTTGATGGCAATTTTTTTGACCGCATTTGATCATAGTGGGAACATCGAAATGGGCGAATTGTTTTAATATATTCTCGAATTTCAAAAGAAAAATGTTTTTGCAAAAAAGAACTTTTGCATGACAAGTTTTTTACTTGAAGTATTATTACTAGAAGAATTCCATCACGTCGAAGTACTGGGAAACTTCACAGTAAAAAAAATTATCATGTCATATGACATTAAAGTGATCGGCAGTGCACTTGCCCAAATCATATTGTAAGATTTCTGATTGATAAAATTCTTAATTTTTTTTACACGCGTTTATATCAATCATTACTGTAAATTCTCTAAATATAGGCAATCTTTTATTTATTTTTTTTTTGGTAGGAGGAGCAACGAAAAAGGATTCTAGTTTTAAACTAAAGAGTTAATAAACGATGTTTTCTCAAACTCGAATTCCTTCAATTGATTTACAGATAACACGTTTTCGCTTAATTAAATACCTTCATAATTCAATACGATATCAAACAACTCAATATTTTACTTTTCGAAAGTATGAAACGAGAAAAGATAAATTTATTCGAAGTACATCAGGAACTTTTGGTATAATGCCATTAAAGTAGAATTCGGTTTCTTTTTATATCCATAGCGGTATCTAATTTTTTTTAAATGTTTCTCATGTTCAACTTTTCTTAGCTTCATCATATTCGGCTGGAACAACGACTCAACAAATTTCGAATTCATCCATAATCCCATATCAATTACATATGCAATCATCAGCGTTTCAAACGGTTCAAGTACAAATATACCTTGATCGTATGAAGTATTACCTCGATATAAATAATCTCGAAGCAATCACCAAAGATTTCATTGATTTAAAACAAAAGAACATTTCACCAACGCTAGAAATTTATCATGTCCTTCTCCAAATGTGTTATAAAGCATCGGATTTAAATAGTGCTTTAGAAATATTCGCACAAATATATAATGATATGACAAAATCTTCTGTTACACCTACAACAGAGACTTTTAAGTACCTTTTAGACGTTGTTGAAGCATCATCGGATCATGACCTCTCATTATATACGGTCAATTCTATTGTAAATTATCAAATTCCATGCATTAAATCAAATGCAAAGGTTATTGGTAAATTGCGAAAAAGGTTGGACGTAAAATTTGATTTGAATACGTGGAATTCTATTTTTCGTTCGTTAACGACTTCACATAAATTATATTCAACAAACGATCTATACTATTTTGAGAAAGTAAAAGGATTAGCTGAAAAGTTTTTAGATTCTAATCCAGATCATCATAATTTCACAGAGGAAACTTGGCGGCTAGTTATCCGAGTAAGTTCGAGTTCAATTCCCTTTTTCTTTTTTTGACTTCACAAATTCACTCACTTTTTTTTTTTACCTTTACATTAGACTTTAGGGGCGTATCCCGGAGATTGTAAAACATTCAATAAAATATTACAAAAGTTTAAATCACAAATTGTAATGACCCCGTCAATTTATTCTGAACTTATTTGGGCATTATCAAGAAAATCTTCAATAGATCTTGCAATTGAAAATCTAGATGAATTAATCTCTCAATTCAATTACATACCTTCTAGAGAACCTCTTTATGTCTTGTTATCTTATTACGCCGATTTAGGAAAATATCAAAAAATAAAATATTTAATAGACAAGTATTCTAAATATATTACTATCCATGAACAAGTTCAACCATCAACATTTTCGCAACAAAACTGGCAATTCAATTTTTCTACAGTTTTAATGAAGGCGTATGTTCAAGCTTTACGTGAGGAAGTTTCTTTTCGTAATAAAAATCTTGAGGAAAACAATTATTTGATGGTAGAATTCATGGAATCAAAGGAAACGAATGACAGAAATGATGGACTGGATTATTTAACGAGTGATAATTTTAAAAAGAGTTCGTTTTATAATTCTTGGATAAAATTATTAAATGAAGTAAATTTATCAAATTCAAAATATCATAAAGATCATTTTGAATTAATGATTAGATTTCATATACTATCAAATCAAATCAATCACCAAGAATTCCCTTTAAATGAAGCATTAAATTTGATTAATGAGATGAGAGGTGACGGAGTTGAACCAACTTTCGAGACATTTAAAATTTTATTGGAAGGTCATGCTGATTCACCGGAATTTAATTCAAATGAACCAAATTTAATACGAGTGAAAAATTCATTAAAAATATATTCTATAATGGAATCTTCTGGATATGATATGAATAACATAGAGATATATCAACCTTTATTAGATTCATGTATAACACAAAATGAACGATTGATAAACAAAAATTTTAAACTTTTAAGGTTAAAAATTAAAGGAAAAATCAATCATATAAAAGACTTGATGAAAATTCATAAGGTGAAACATAATCAAAAATCAATGTTAACCCTTCTAGAATTATATGGTTCCATTCACTCTTTTAGTGAAATGAGACGTGTTTGGTTTGAAATATTTTTATCAGGATATCATCGTAATTTAAATTTTTACAAAATATTTATAAAAGCTTCTTCACAAAACGTTCGTGAATCAATTTATTGTTTAGACGTTTTAAGACATCAAATGTCAAAAGAGAACCCTCTTGTATCTCCTGATTTAGAAACTTTTGATTTATTATTAAAATGTTGTATTAAATCTAATGATTTAATTACAATGGAACAAATTATTAATGAGATGAAACAATATTTTCCTTCTCCTTCAAAAGAAGAAAATTGGTTAATACCAATATTATATACTTATTTAAACACCCCAGAATTAGTTTATAAAGGAAAGAATGTTGTTAAACACTTTTTTAAATGTAAAGAATTAATTAATTTCGATTTTTGGAAAATCGTATTACAATATTTTACTGAAAATGAAAAAGAATCAAATACTACTCAAAAATTTTTTGATTTATATGTAGATTGGAGCAACGAACATCTTCATAATTTTAAAAGTAATTCCACTCAAATTGATGATGATTTCCAAACACAACAATCATCTTCAAAAGAGCCTATTTTAAAATTTCCAAATTCCCCCCTTTTAAACCTAGATTTAGAAATAATTTATTTGTACCTAAAATATCACATACGTACATCATCTTTTCTTCAAACAAAAAACATTTTTGATAAATTATTTTCTTACTATCCTAATAATGCACTTTTAATTTTTAATAATATTGATTTATTAAAAGAATTTGCTTTTCTTTCTCTAAAACACCAACAATTTGAAATCCTAGATTGGTTTGATAAATTTGTATTAAGTAGAACTAAAGTGAATTTGAAGGATATGGATGATTATAGAATATTACGTAATTGGGTGATCAATAATTTAAAACAATGTGATGGAAAAAACAATAAAGAAATCTCAATAGAAGTTAAAGTACCTGAATTTGTGGATATGAAATGGTTAGAAAGATATGAAGATTTGGATGTCAATTAGATATATAAAACTTTAACTATGGTTAAATACAAAATCATAAATTAATTAAACAAAAAAAAAATCGGCAATTCTTTTTTTTTTTTAAAGGAATTTAAAATTATTTACCTTTGAATTCTTAAATGTACTATCTTAGTTTAATCTGTGTAATAATTATTTAAGCTTTAACTTCACCTTCGTTAACTTCGCTAGGACGTAACGCGATAAAACCTCTGGTCATTAAATTAAACATACTTCCAAAGAAAAGTGCAATGACCGTACATGTTAATGTTATAACATTGTAAGGCATGCTGAAATCTGGTGTAGGGAGACTAACAAGAAGCGTTTCTGTATATACACGGATAGGGAAATGATGGCATGCCGTTTTTGACATGTTATCGGAGCAATTTCTATATATAAAAGATTTCATTTTACAACGATTCCACGAGAATACCTTAAATGACATTATTTGACATGTTAATATACCTTGTTGCTCTTTCGTCCGAATATTTGAAGTCATCAATAGATTCAACTTTAGTGGATATTACTGCAGAACCAATGTCAAAACCACGGTTCGCATCCGGTGGATGTTCGGTATATTTTAAAAATACTTTGTCAAAATTAATCGAGAGAGTTGTTATGGAATTAGGTGGCAATGATAATTCTGCTTCAATAACATTCGGACGTGAACGATCCACAGCCGGCTGATAATACAAATCCTTTATTGGATTATCTGTTTAATAAAAAAAAAATTATGTGTGTGTACATATATTATTTAGTTTTAAGATTAGTAGATCACCCATAACAATATAAAATAATGAATTTCAATACATTGTGCTTCCACTCCATTTATTTGGACTTTTAGCGTATGAAGATATAATTTCAAGAACCATGGAATAACGTCAAAATATATTATTGGGACAGTGATATTAGAACTTTTGTTAAATATATTGATTTTAATTCCGCCTCTTTCTTGGCCATAACCTTCAAATGTTAAGATAGAAATTAGCTAGATTTGTTAATATTATTAGAATAAACTACAATGAATTACCCGTAAAAAAACGATGTGCATAAACGCGCGGTTGTTCGAAATTAAGATCTAAAAATTAATAAATAAAAAATCACTTATGATAAAAAAAAAAAAAGATTTTTAAATAAAAAAAAATTTAAAAAATGGTTTTCCTTACTGTATTCGAACAAATCTTCTTTCCATGTCATCGAAACATCTGTTTTTGATTGTACTGTAAAGGGCAATGAATTAATATATACTTTTTTTTTGTAGTCGAACAAAAAATATCATTACTTACCATTTTTGAGATAAAACACAGCTTTACTCGTGTCACCTTCAGTTTTCTGAATGACGTCATCCGCGTCAGGACTTAATTTATAATCACCATCTTCGGGTAAATTTATTTCTAACTTGCTTTCTTCAGCTAAAGGACAAGCTTGTGAAAGACTTCTTCCAAAAATCTGGTTCAAACTCCAATCTTAAAGAAAAATATTAAAACAAATAAGATTCATTTAAAGTAATATCAGTAACAAAAATATTTATTTAATTGATAAAAATTATAAACAAACCTCTTTTTCCTGAATTCCTTACAGGATCTACGACAGTGGACACAGTCTGAACGATTTCTAACTGTTTTCTCAAACATTCCGAATTCTAATTACGAAATATTATTAAAACTGATGATATTTTTTAACAAATTAAATTATCTTTGTCATTACCTCACATACTGGCCGTACGTGAATGGACATCGAATGAAAATTAGAATCATATAATTTGTGTCCATTCAAAAGAGATGCTATTCCGGACTGGTTTTATCAATAGTAAGAAATTTTCTCCAGTTTAATTTAAATAATTAAAAATTTCTCAAATATTAAACTTACATTCGATTTACAAGGAAGAAGTTTAATCCATGGTGTCAAATTTTCAGTACAAACATTTTCATGAGGTAAGGATCCGTATCTGAGTTCAGCATCTGTCGACAACTCCGTAGCTACAATAAGTAATATTTATTTGATTTGATTTTCAATGAACTTTTTTTAAGAATATTTCCATATGGAAAGTGTAACAAATAATGATTAGATCCGTACCGTTATACGGCCCTTCTGGTCGAAACGATAATTTTGGCTGAACGGTAATCGTATCATCTATAAAATTTAACGAAGCACAAAAAAGTCCGGCAAGAGCGTTTGTCAATGACTTCCAATTTTCATCTAGCCTAATGAATAATATACTATTATTACAATTATAAAGAAAGATTATTTTAGAAAGGAGATTACGTACTTTCCATCTTTCCATAGCCATGCCCAAAGTTCTACTCCAATTCCTGCTGATGGAACAATGGGATAACCCCAGTCTTCATAATTCCATCGTCCTTGTGTAAATGTCAAGTGCAACTCACGCGCATTATAACTCTGAATTATTTGTCCTATCGCACGCGGAAAGAACTTATAATGGTTGACTAAAAAATTTAAGGCAAATATTAGAATCCACAAATATATAACGATAAAATTGACTTACATACAAGCTTTGCCTTCCTCAATTCCTCCAATTCTAACGTTGAATTGAAAATGGGTTAATAACTTTCCGTCTGAAAGCGATTTAATCGTAAGTGATTCTTTAAAATTATCATTTTGAATATTCTCAGCAAAGGTCAAATTGACCATTGACACTATAAAAATAAAGAATAGAAACAAGCGCCGCATTGTTAACTATTAAAAGTTTTCATTTTCGATAAATTGCTGGTTCAATTTAATTTTATCATGCAGAAATTAACGTGATACGACAGTTTAGATCTTGTGATTACAAATCATATGCGCGCATTTTTGGAATCACACAGTCCAAATCAAAACTGTATTACATGATCATCCATTCAGTGATTTCTAATAAAAAAAATCTCTTTATATAAATGTCGATATCGTAAAATAAAACAAAAATTTAAAAATATCGTGATCATCATGTGATTTCAAAATGCGACGAACTCGTGACCACCATCATCACGTTTACGTTGTTACAATACCGCAGTGATAAATATGCGTAACGTTTGGATGCGATTTACCTCCCAAAGATCTTTACCAAGATCAATATATTGTAGCCATAATTTGATATCACCTTTATATTTAGTTACTCCTGTCAAAGATAAAATATATTCTTCGTTTTATTGAATAATCAGATATTGTGACTTTTTCTTGACACCTATTATTTATTCATTATAATTAATTTTATTATAATTACATTTAAATTAATGCATCAAAGATAGTACTTACCTAATCGCTCTTTACTTTAAAAAATCGATGACCTGTGCCGGTCTTCTCTTAAGTGCATATTCAAATGCTGTTCGTTCCTTTATAACCGACTTTATTTCTTCCTAAAAAAAAAAAAAAATTTTAAACAGTGTATAATTGTTTTAAACATTTGATGAGCTAAGAATAAACGAATTTTTCTGGTTGGATTAATTCCAATATTGATTCTTAATTATATGTACTGGTAAATAATACGAATATTATTCTCAAGTATAATGCGGGATTTCCCAAGAAAAAAGTTCAACAAACTTGCAATTCACTATAGAACGCAATTATTTAGTTGACTGTGGGATATTAAAGATGAAATTAAATTTGAATTAGTTTTCCAGATTTCTTCGTATGATAAAAGTTCAGTTGTTGGCTAGAAGTGATCTAAATTATAACAAGAAATAACGAGGAAATTTTTACAATAACATTAATGACTAGAAAGTTACTAGACTTTTATGAATCATAGTGATATGGCCATTTGGCTTTCATATTGTATGGATAACGAGATAAAAAAAAAAATTCAAAATACGACCGGTTATAAAGAAAAAAATACAGATTATTTATTTGATAAAGAATAAATAATAATTTGATAAATGAAACTACAATTTAATATAAAAACAGCTGGTTCACGTATTCGAATATTTCTTGGAAACGTTATATTAGGACAAAATACGATCCAACTGTATTACTGTAAGAACTTAATTTTTGAGCCAATTAGCTAAATTGTTATTAGTTTCCGAATACCATTTTTTACATCGAATTGGTCAAATACTACTACTGATTCAAAATTAAACAAATTAAATTTCTGCTGATTCTTGACTCAAACACCTTTCCAGAAACCGTATACGTTTACTTACCAGGACGACCGTGTTTATATGAGATAGAGAATTCCGCGAGATAATGGCCGATCATTTCAGGCTAGCGCGTTCAAAGAAAATAAAAATTTCAATGAATTAAAAAATAAAAAAAAATGAAAAACTGTTCTTTAGTAAATTTTCAATTTGATTAAAAGTTTTTCCATTATAAACATCAATAACCGAACCAATCATTTCAGGCACAATTTAACACTGAAGGTTTTCATTTGGAGGAGCTTCCTTTTACGTAATTTTTTAATTAAGCTCATTAGTTTACGTTTGAGTCCACGTTAAAATCTACGTCTTGCTCTACAATGAACCAAATCCATCAATTGATCACTAGTCAAGTCTAATAATTGATCAAGATCAACTCCTCTATAAGAGTACTTTCTAAAAGTTCTCTTCTTTTTCAATTCGGCGGCAGCTGCAGCTTCGTAATCGCCAGCCTAAAAGATGAAAAGATAATGGATTTGAAATTTTATTGTCCTGAGCGAAGCGAAGGACTATATATTTCTGTGCATTGATTAAATTTTGGTCATGTGAACGTTTCTCTGTCCGCCACGCGATTTTCGTCCAATAATTCGCTCAGGACTCACAACGGTCCCCGTTTCCTAGTAATATTATTATAATTGAATTGATAAATTTTTCATTTTTGTCCAGAATTTTGTTATTGTTCTTGATTCTATCGATTTCAATTTTTTTTTTTCTTTTCATTAAGTCATCCATATTAAAACTTCCAAAAAAAGATTCAATCACAACTCCAAATCTAAAAAAATATTGTCAAAACTTTACCATATTTCGTTTTTTTGTTATTGTGAAAAAATAATCGTTTCAAAAAAAAAATTTTTTATTATATACATTATTCCTAAGATTTTACAAAATGGGAAGAGTTGAAACTTTTTGAAAATTTTTTTTTTTTTGTTGTATAAAGAAAAGTCCTTTATTTATAACTACGCGATAAATTTCCAAATTATGTTAGCATTTTTATATCATCTCAACAAAAAACTAAAACTCTTTATAATTCCGAAGTACACCTCTACTATTTATCATGAGTGAGGGTTTTTTCATGGCTCTATCTCCCCTACAATTTTTAAATTTGAGTGATTATATTGCGAGGACGTAGATATTAAAATAGATAACGACATACAGTCGACCCTCTCGATAGTCACACCCCTCGGGACCGAAAAAAATGGTGTGATTATAAATAAGGGGGGTGTGACTATATATGAGTGTGATTATAGAGAGGGTCGACTGTATAGTTTTCATTGAGCAAATTTAATTCGATCTATATAAAAAAAAAATCACCCATTATTGCTCAACTTCTTTGATTGGTGATAATATATTAAAAATTTAGAAGAACATGCTAAATACCAATTACTCCTTCCTTAATAATTTTATTATCTCTTTCTGAGCTTTTAACAATTCAGCTTGTGTATCGATTACTTTTGTTTTTAATTCTTCCCATTTAGAACAATATTTCCGTTTCTTTTCATAAAAAAGTTCATATCAGTATTGAAAAGTTAAATAAAGAACTTAAATGCAATTAAATACCTTATATTGTGACACATCATCAACATCATCGACAATTTTCTCTTTTGTTGTGACACGGACTGCGATGAGGTTGCTCCTTAGAATAGGATTGCTCGTGTTCAGGATGAGTTGCTCCTTGGGATAGGACTGTTCTTGTTCGGGATGAATGATAACAACCAATCATATTTTAAATACAAAAAATTAAAAAGTGTACAATGAATTATGATTGGCTGAAACACTTTCGTCAGTACAGTTTATTTACAGGCCCATAATAAACTTCCTCACTTAATTTCGACATCTAATATAAAAACAATAGATTATAAAATTAATATAAAAGTGTATGAATGAATTTTTCAAAAAAAAACAACATAAAACATAAAAGTGCTTACCCAACATGCTGTAATTTGATTACATGTTCAAATGGAATGTTCTACAGTCTTGTGTAGTCAATATAACATCACAGATAATTCAGGTTTCCGCAACAGAGGCGTCCTTTATATTTTGGGGCTAAAGATAGAAATAAGCAGTTAATTGAAACGTGCTATGTAATAAAAACTAAAATAGCGGTAGTATCTCGTAAAGAGAAGGTAAACAGCATCCCATCAAGGGAAGGTTCCCACTAAGAGAAGGAGAGGTATACTTTGCTTACCTAAATTCATTCTAAGTTAACGAGTGAAGAGTAAAATTGATGAGGAAAAGGGTTTTGGACTTTGGATATTTTTAACGCGACTTTTTGTATTATGCAGATCATAAATATATCACGTGATATTTATCCAATTAAATTCAAACTATCAATTAGATATCGATACTATGTTTATTTAGAGCAATTTCAGAACTGGAACATTTCTATAGTCAAGGACTTTACAATAATTTATTTGCTGCGTAATTCAACAATTATTTGTTTAGATAAAATTTTATAATTTTGCTCTTATTTCTTTACCAATATTTTCACTTTCATCTTTACTTATTTTTAATCTTCCTACATCTCTACCATCCCAATTTTTAAATCTTGGTATAATATGGAAATGTAAATGAAAAACTACTTGACCTGCAATAATTCCATTATTTTGAAGCAAATTAAAATCCTTAGCGCCAACACCTTGGATTACGGCATTTGAGATTTGGGGTAATACAGAGCCTAAAGAAGACATTATCGAAGGTGGGGCTAAAGTTAATCGAGGAATATGAGTTTTTGGAACTACTAAAGTGTGACCTTTAGAAATTGGTGCTATGTCTTAAAATAATTGAATTATAAAAGAATTAATTAAGAATATTTGGATCTTATTTTTTTTTTTGTGGAATTTAGATAATTACCTAGAAAAGCTAATACTTCTTCATTTTCAAATACTTTCACACACGATAATTGTCCTGATATAATTTTACAAAAAGTACAATCTTTTGGGTCCTCTGAAGGTACGGGTTTAGGTTGTGATTGTGAAAGAATTCGAGGAGTATTATAGTTACGAGGAAAAAGTGGATTAATAGGTGGCATATTTTTTTTTTAAAAAAAATAAAAAAAGCTAGAATGTTGTATTTTCTATTTTAGGCTTTACAAAAAATTCCGATTTTTTGATTGGTTGATTTCATTCATGTATGTTCATACATAAAGTCAGATGATTTTAAGCGGGTTTTATTGTACTTTAAAGACCACTCTATTTATCTCTATTAACGTTTTTTTCGGGTTCTCACAATGGTTGCCTTAAAGTGTCGAAATTTATTGCACCCGGTATTCATTTTTTATTTGATACTTGCATGTTACATTACATTGACCTTTACGGAGCAGTTCGCTTACTTTGAAGTACCTCAGCAAAGCCAACACGTTAAAAAACTTGCAATAATTGGCAAGTAAATTTACTACCTTCTGAATTATTATTAACGTTGTCAATTACTCAATCGCATTATTGTTCTATCCGATAGGTGCTGGTGCGGGTGGTTCTTCAGCTGCTTATTGGGTTTCAGAAGCTTTCGCAAATTCATCTGTAAAAATTAATACTACGATTTATGAACAATCATCAATCGTTGGTGGGCGGGTCAATGTTATAAATTTTGAACGCGATGATATAAATATTCCCATTGAATTAGGAGCATCAATTTTTGTTGATGTTAATTATCACTTGGTAGAGAATGCGAAGAAATTTGGATTGGAATTTATAAAATATGGAGAGGAATTAGAAAACTCGAAAATGGGAATGTAAGTGATCATGGTTTAAGGCACGTGTTGGTCAAATCTAATTCCTATCATTTCAATAGTTGGAACGGCGAAGAATTTGTCTTTGAACAATCTTTTAGTTCATATTGGGATATCGTGAAACTTTTTTGGAAGTATGGATGGGCTCCAAAGAAAGTACGACCAAACTGTAAATTTTTTTGTTATTTAAAAACTTTGGTTAATCACGTGATATACTATTACTATTAATAAGGTTCAAAATCTGGTAAAAGAAATTATCGGAAAGTTTTTGGAAGAGTATAAATATGATGAGCCTTTTATTAGTGTCGATGCGGAAGCCGAGCGTCTTCGACTAGACAAAGAAAGAAAATACAGTGCTCAATATTACTTCTCTGAATTGAAAAATATTAATCAGCTTTATCTTCAACATTTTGTCGAACCATTGACCCGTGTTAATTATGGCCAGAATTTAGCAGAAATGCACGCAATGGGAGCCTTTATTAGTTTAGCACCTGAAGGAGCGAAAGGTATTAAGGGGGGAAATTTCAAACTTTTTGAAAAGTTTATCGAACACTCTGGTGCCAATTTGAAATTAAATACAAAAATAACCAAAGTTACAAGATTGCCATCACACAAAGGTATCATGAATGATGTGAAATATGCAGTAAAATCAAGTGATGGCTCTTCTGAAATATACGATGCAATTATTTTGGCCGCTCCAATTGTAAAAACTTTTTTCTTTATAATTTTGGGAAATTTCGTAATTTTTAAGAACTTTCTAATCATTATACATAATTAAATTCATGCAGCAATTTACCGGAATTGAATTTGAAAATATGGATTTTAAAATTAAAGAAATTCCATATGTAGAACTCCACGTCACTTTAGTTGTGGGATTCATTAATCCGGCCTACTTTGGTCGTACCAAAATTGAAGAGGTACCTAATCAAATAGTGACGACCAACAGCGGGAAATGCGAATTTCTTAGTTTTGGAGGAAAATTGCAACTTCCAAATGGAGAAACTGTCGTTAAGTTATTTTCGCACCAAGAGTTATCTGATGAGATGCTTGACAGACTTTACACCAATCGTTCTTGGACTTTCCGTAAAGTATGGAATAGCTATCCTAAACTTTTACCCAATCAAACTTTTCCACAATTGGAACCTGTTGACGGTTTCTTCTATATAAATTCTTATGAGCCTTTCATTTCGGTATGTTTAACTTCTTTTTTGTTTTTCTTTTAGATAAACATTTAATTTTAACTTTTTTTTTTTTTTTTACTTTTAGACTATGGAAACAGAATGTGTATCAAGTAGAAATATCGTAAAGTTACTTTCGAAAAGGTGGTCTGGTCTTCATTTGAAACCAATAAAAGCTAAATTATAGAAATTTGTTATGTACGAATAACTTAAAATTCTGACAGAATTCAGATAAAGCAAATTATGCCTTTACCAATCCAAAATTCTAGGAATTTGTGGGTTAGCTATTCAGGTAAATATGCGACATTTGAGCAATTAAAAATACTAAATTTCACTCTAATTTATTGTCCTTTTGTTGTAAAATAACAAATAAATGAATTTTATTAAGTCTTTAAATATTTTTCATTCGTCCCTTCTGATTAAATTTTTGTAACACAACTTTCCTAAATGGTTTATTGAAAATTAAGCATTAAAACATCCTTAACGATTGGACTTAGCAACACGTTCTAGTATAAGAATAAAAACAAATTAATTAATAAACTTGAAAATTCTAGATATAAGGTTAAATCATAACTTGTCTTACCGAGTTCGTCTTTCTTTTTAATAGCATAAGAATTTGAACTTCCCTCTGTAATATAAAATATGATTAACAAAATATTTTTGCTTTGCAAAAAAAGTAATTCACAAAAGACAAAACACAAACTAGCAGCATTAATAAGTTCATCAGCCAAACATTCTGCAATACTCTTAACATTTCTGAAAGCTGATTCACGCGTCTAAGTTATATCACCAATAAATAATAAGTAATCGTAATCAAAAAAAAATATTTAAAAAATGTTTTCCAAAAAAAAAATTTCGGCACTTACTCCAGTTGTCAAAAGAGCGATAGCTTGATTCACCCGACGAAGAGGAGACACATCAACAGCTTGTCTTCTTACAGTACCAGCACTACCAATACGGGTTGAGTCTTCACGTGGACCAGTGTTAATAATGGCATCAACTAAAACTTGAATAGGATTTTGATCAGTTAGCAGATGAATGATCTCAAATGCATGTTTTACAATCCTAACAGCCATTAATTTTTTGCCGTTATTACGACCGTGCATCATAAGTGAATTTGTTAACCGTTCGACAACAGGGCACTAAATAAACGTAATTGGAATCATCAATTTTTATACGCGTCTTCTTCATTTCAATTGGAAATGCTCATTATAATAATCAAAGAATTTTAAAAAATTCTTTCACTTTTTTTTTTTAAAAAAAAAATTATTGTCATACCTGAGCCTTTCTAAACCTCTTGGTAGAAAAACGACCAGCAGTATGTGGTAAGTATACTGGGTTTCGAATTTGAATATAATCTGTCAATGATATATCCTTAACCTCAACATCATCGTAAGTCCATTTGTTGAATAACCGAGTGCCTTGTGAAGCTTCGTTATAGATTTCTGCAGGAAGGGCCATGGTGTGCCTATAAATTATAATCGTTATTAGAAAAAAAGTTGAATTTTTTATTTAATGAGGATGGATTACATTGATTTAATTAAATCATACCTTTTAACTCTGCAACGAAATTATGAAATTGAAAAAGAGAAGGAAAAATTTTTTAAATCAATGAAAACTTTATATCAATCTCTGACGTCACATAAATTAACCAATCGAATAACGTGATGATCAACCAATCAGAAAATTACCATGTAGTAAACTTATGTTTTATAAATATTTTTATCATAAACAATTTGATTTAATTGTAGATGATCGGCCAATCAGATTTCACCTCCCTTGAGTTATTGACATAGCTAAGCCACCATTATTATTTGATTAATCATTATATTGATCAAATTAATTTTTCTCACCATGATTCTAACATATTACTTGATATTTTTTTTTATAAAACAGACTCTAAAGAATCTTCTTACCATGTGAAAAAAGACAACTATAGAGTTCTTTAATGCCTAGCTTTGTATTCTCAATGATGAATGAAAACAGAGAAATACTGAATACTAACTATGCTATCACAAATAAAAAGAAATATTTCTTTTGAAACAATATTGCTAAAAAAATAAACGATCAAGAAAATACCAATTATTTCACTAGCAAGAAATACCATAAAAATTCTTAAGTCTCACAAAAACTTTTTATATAAGTAGTGCTGGTGAACGCTTGATATTGCTTGTATTTTACAAAAACCTATCTGGTTAATATATTTATTATTTTATAAATAGTAAAAAAATATAGAGAAGAAATTGAAAATAAAAGAAGTTTGATTGGAAAGAAGTTATATAAGGAGTTTTTAATGAAGTTCTGGCAAAAAATAGGTAATTGTATTTTAAGAAAAAATATTTTGAGAAGGTTTTTCATTATTAATAAGTAAAGTTGATGTTGTAACTAATTGCAATTAGTAATAAATAAGCATTTCAGAGTTGCAACTAATTGCAACATTAATAAAAATTAAGTTGCAATTAGTAACAAATAAGCATCACATGGTTGTAACTACAGACCCCGCCAAAAGTCTCCGAACGCTTTTTGGCTCAATATAAAACTTAAATTTTTTAAGTTTAATTAAAAA